CTCCAGATTGACTGGGTCGGACCACTCACTAAGACCTCTAGAGGAAATAAATATTTTCTCACGGTAACCTGCGCGTTTACCAAATGGGTAGAATGTCTACCAGCCCCTAATGACACAGCACAAACCACTGCTATGTTATTAATGAATCATGTATTTTCAAGGTTTGGACTTCCCCTTAGGGTGAACTCGGACCAAGGTACACACTTCACAGGTGAAGTAATGAAGGAACTGTGGAAGACGCTAGGCGTCAAAGCCAACTTCCATATTGGCTACCACCCACAGGCTTCAGGCCAGGTTGAGAGAGCAAATAGGACGGTGGTGAGTATTTTGAAAAAATACGTAGCCGCAAACCACAAGGACTGGGACGTGAAACTCCCTCTGGTCCTCATGGCCATAAGGGCCACTCCACACACGTCGACTGGCATCGCTCCTTTCGAGATGATGACGGGTCGACAAATGACTCTCCCTCTGCACCTGCTGTACCAACCAGGCGATGCTGCCATGGCAACAGCCTACACCACACAACAATACATGAAAGACTTGGAAAGACATCTTAAGAACACTTTTGCTTTCGCACAGAAAAACCTGGAAAAATCAGCTGAAGGACGCAAAGCGTACTACGACCAAAAGGCCTCTTACGAGGAACTCCAAGTGGGAGACAGGGTCTGGTACTACACGTTTGCACCCAAAACTGGGAGAGTAGAGTCCGGGACCGGAACTCTCGCCCGTAAGCTGATGCCCAGATGGACTGGACCCCATCTGATAACCGACAAAGTGTCTCCAATTATCTACCAGATAAAAATCAGTAAAGGCCAAAAAGAGCCAACTGTTAAATGGGTACACCGTAACCAGGTTAAACAACACAAGGCGTGCAATAACTCCTTAGGAGACAATGACATCACAAAATCTGACCTCGTGGGAACAAGGGTCATCCAAGCTGAAGATAACTAATGGATAATAAAATTAACCATAGTTTAAACTCACAGGACCTACCCTTGACCATTACGAAGCTAAGACCTATCTCTTTGTGTTTCCATAGGACAATGATGGTACCACTCCTGGTAATCTTCACCCTCTTGGGTGCCGCCCAAGAGGGGCAAGCTGAGATCGTAACCCTTGGGCCCACCTCAGGCATCGCTCTGAGGGACCAGCCGGGATTGCTCATCACAGACTGCCGCCTATACACTCGAAAGGTCTTCATCCGCTTCGATCCCCAAACTGTGATCAAACAACACATTAACCTTAAAAACGAGTGGCTAAACAAAACATGGTATACGATATCCCTAGAGAGTGCTAAAACAGAGATCCAACACGTCCTAAAGCAACTACATAAGTTCACCTACACTCAAGAGGAGTTGGGTGGAATGCATAGAAGGCAAAAGCGCGGCATCGGCGGACTTTTGCTTGCTGCATCGTCACTAGGATCACTGTTTAGCTTAGGTTTGTCCGCATACAACACTGTCAGTATAACGTCACTAAAACAACACGTGTCTGAAGTAGAGAATGAGATTCCAAAGATCCGAGCGCAAATGGATCTTCAACTTACACAATTGACACAAGTGACTAAAACCGTAAAGGATACTGTTCTAGTGCTGAACACTCACACCCAAGAAATTAAAGCCCTCGTGCATGCGGTAAATGAGTTAGCCCTGAAGGTTGAAGTGAATTACGCTGTCGCACACCTAATGGATAGGATTTTTGCTGACATGCTTAGAGATATCAGTTCGTCGGTAGATACACTAGCCACCGGTAGGATCCCACCGTATCTAGTCTCTCTACAGATGGTGAACGACATCCTCAGCGCCGCCACACACGAACAAGTCACGCAAACACAGGCACACCTGGCTTACACTCTCGGTAGCGCAATCCCAATCTACGTCAATCACAAAACGTTTGAAATGGCGTTCATTGTCAACCTACCGATAATTCCCTCAAACGGCATATACAGACTCAGGGACGTCGTAAATGTTGGCAATTGGCACGGCGAAAACCATGTTCAAATTGACACACCAAGGATGGTTGCGTACCACGACGACAACCCCTCAGTCTACCTAGCTCCAAACCTGCAGATGTGTGTTCTCACTCGGGAGATACACTATCTGTGCCCGAGCAAACCGTTTATGTGGAATAAAACCGCGGGCATATGCGGATTAACACCTATCCCGGAAAATTCTATATGCTCAACGACCGTAACGCCCCGACACCTGGCTAAAGCTGCAAAGGCGGAAATAATTGGCTCTCGTTGGCTAGTGAACGCTCCTCAAAGAAAGGCGATCATAGCCTACGATCAATCTGGGGCAAATAGACCTTTGGCGTTACCGGACAAAACGATATGGATCAGTGTTCCCCAGGGAACAACCATACACATTGGTGATTTGACGCTCTATCACCTCGATCCGGAACGGTGGGACGCGACTCTGGATGACTCAGAGTACCTAGGAAATATGTCTATAGACATAGATCCAGAGACTCTGGGAAGGATCCGTTTTGAAGGCACCCAAGTCGTCGACGTGGAACCAATAAACCGAGTTCTCAAGTCCCTCAGGTCCACAACTAAGAACCCGATCCAACCAATTACCTATGCGTGGTCAAGCGCGGACACATTAATCATAGCCCTGCTAATGACGATAACCCTCGTATTGTGTGGGATACTCGCATCCCTGCTCCGGGGCCAAACGTCACTCCGAATCGACGTGGATCGCCATGCAGCGCACCTCGATATGATTATGCCTTGCGTAAGCAGGTCTGCAAAGAAGCCACTCACACGGGACAACGTGACTGAATCTGGCAACCAGGGTGAGGAGAAGCTGTGAAACGATGTTTCTAGATGCTTAGTCACTACTCTTGTCGGTGTTGGAACGTTGTTTAGTTGATTTTGGTTGTTTCTGAGGTAAGAATGAATCTTGTGTGTAGTTAAGTTAGAGACTAAGAAGCCTTTAACCATGCCAACATGCAGTTCATTCACTAAATTGCAATCTTTGCGGAGTCAATGTATATTATTGCTACTTTGAGTACCATAATCTACATTGATCTCACAACGCTTAAGCCGAACCTACTCGAACAATTCTATTCGGGGGGATAGCTAATTCTTTTTGATAAGTCTCGCCATAGACTTCCAAAACATTTATGGGAAAACCAAACACCCAATCTCAAGTCGTTCGTCTACAAAGACAACAGACAATTACACCAAACTATATTTTACCATGTAAAGCTAACTTAAACCAAGTTAGAAATGGAAAAATAGTTTGGAACACTTTTCTATAGGCATAAACCCCTGTAGTTACCCCTTTTCAGCATTCTCCACCCCTTAACTGGTAGTTGTAGCTATTCCCAACCATAATAGCATACACACCAGATGCATATAGTTTAAGGCCTTATGTAAAATCCCCTTCATAAGCCCACCTTAAACCACATAATTGCATGACACATTGAACCAGAACGGCACAGGCTGGACGTCGCTGGAGACAACCTTCGCTGGAGGCGACCTGCAATCCTGACGTTGGTTTCAACTCTTCATCCAGTGGCCGCTTCTTCAGTTCAATCCAAGGGTACCCCTCTGTATGCTGATTAATCAACACTTCCAATCGCTGTGGATTTACCGTTGTGGATTATATGACTTTTTCCAATGGATTACAGACTCTGTTTCCAAGGGGTTAAGGCATTGCTACAATGGGATTATCGAGACGATATGGGATTATAATCAACACAATGGAATACCAAGAACATTGTGGAATTACCTTGACTTTGTTTCCTCGCTGGATTACTTCTGACTTTGGTCTTCCTTGAAGGATTACTTCTGACTTTAGTCTTCCTTGAAGGATTACTTCTGACTTTGGTCTTCCTTGCTGGATTATATCAAGCTCAAGGACATTTGAAGGTCTAAGTTCACGGTTGGAATTCATCCCCATGGACAGGTGATGATTTCCAAAGGGGGGACTGTAGTGAACCAGATGACCTCAAATATACCAGATGGACAGAGACTGTTATTTTCATTGATCTGAATAAGTCTGAACCATCTGATGAACTTTCTTTCTTGAATTAATCAAGCAGAAAAGACAATCCTCTATAATCATTACTGTCTTACAAATGTTTTGATAATCAAATTGTGTTAGTTCACTCAATGCTTTACAGGTTGAAAAGAACTACTAATTTTTATTTTACATAAACAGTAAGTAATGATTTTTGTTCCTCATTCAGAGAAGAAATCACCTGAATATGCCTTTCTTGATTTTCTGTCTGAAATGAGCAAGCTGTCGTAAGTATGTTAAAGGTTGGTTTTCGGTCAACTAAAATGTTTACCGAGAAAAATGTCATGTTTTACTATTTGAAAAGATTACAAAGTGTGAGACTCCACGAAGTCTGCTGTTGCTGCAATAATCTTTTCTGTATGTTGTAAACAATCCTTGACTTATGATAACATCTTACGTCACAAATCCACTCCTCTTTCTGGTCCTTCCACGAATCAGAAAGCTCTAAATTGAACAGGAAGTCGACCCAAATAAAATGTGGCAACTTCTCAGTT